GCCCGGAGGCTTACGTGGCCATGGGCCTGGATAAATTCTTCAGGAACCACGCTTTCCTGCACTACCGTAATCTCGGCGCCCGTGTCTACTATTGCATTCAAAGTTTTATCTTTGCAATTCAGAGTTACCTTCCACAAGCGGTCGGCAGGCGTTACCTTATCTAGGCAGACTCGAGCAGTGAGTTTATCATTTCCCTCCGAAGCGCTAGGATTCGGCGCCACCCTTTCAAGATAGTGCGGGCAGTTGAGTCTAATATGAGTGTTCGATCCACACTCAAAACATCCCGTTTTCCTCGGTTGCCTACCTGAATTATACTTCGGTCTCGGGTTCGAACCCTGACTCGGGCCCGATGGGCTGCTACTCTGGTGGTCGGTCGTCTTTTCTACCTCTTTACTGCTGGCGTTACGCGGCTGTCCTTTCTGCGCTTCCGCACTGCCGTTCGCGTCTTCAAAGGTGTGCAAGAGCCTTGCAATTTCTGTGCTCTTGTACCACGCTGCCCCTCACGTAACCTCAACTATTTTAATGCCTCTTCAGACAACACGGTTTTCAATTGGTCCACTACCAGTAGTTCCAAAAGCTCCGCGAAGGTGGACACGTCTCTTGACGCCACATAAAAATTTAAGTAGCTGCCCAACCTTGTTGTAAAACTTTTCCACGTCTCTGTTTTTCATTTACGTGCCCCTGTGAATTTCTTTTGGTATTCTAAGGAAGACAGCTTCAGTTCGTCAAGCACTACTTCCTTCACGGTCTCATAGTCCCGATGTTGGGCGGGTGTGAGCCGAGTTGATAAATACTCTATGCGCTCAGCCACGAGTGGAAAGACTATATGTCCCCAATAACTTCGAGGCACCTCATATGCCTCCAGAGTATGCTCCACTGACTCGAGCCAAATTGGGACCTCCGCGTCTGCGGGAAATTTCGGGAAAGCACCCACTAACAATTTGGCGTATTTGCGCCACTCAGTGTTGGAGCAGCGCTCAAATGTTCTGCCAGCATCACTCACGCTACCTGATGGTCTTGCCGGACGTAATTTAGCGAGCTATAACTCTAACTCCATTTGCCGGCTTCGTTCCCGAGCCACCTTAAAATCATGATCTGCTTGGTCTCGTGCCGTCCAAGGGACGTCACCACTCCCATCCTCACTCACCCTATCGCCACCCTCCATCCTGCTGAATGTGGTGCTAGCCTGTTTGCCCCGCAACAACAATACAGCAATGAGAAAGGGAACTCACGTTAGCTCTGTCCCATTGTCTCTGGCTTGCTGCTGCAGGCTTCTGGTCGATGCCCCACCTCGTCGTGGACGCGCCTTTTGGGTGTCGAGAACTCGTTCGAGGACCGTTTTGACCCAGTCACTCCCTCGGTGTCTTCCGGGAACACCAGGCTATCTGCAGCTTCCAGCTGCCGCAGCTACTTGCTGCAGTGTCTGTCCGTTGGTCTGGTGCCGATTGGCGTCTTCGTCTGTACTTCGTTTTTTCTCTCAGCCAGCTTCTTCCTTCTTCCAACTCCGTCCACAGCAAGCCAACCCTGCTCGACTGCGCCAGTAAAATCAGGTTCTCTTCTCGATGTAGGAGAAACCACTTCTCCCCACTCAGCGCCCGAGGCGCACCACCCGCGGTGGTGTAGCAAAGTGGGAGAAGAAACGTACGCCGCTATCCCAATAGCGGCTATTGGCCTGCTGGTCGCTTGACGATGAAGCAGAAGCAACGCTGAAGAAGTTCTAGATGGCTGAGAAAAACTTGTATTTACAGATTTCACAAAACAATGGACATCGAGGTTACAAAAAAAAAGAAAAACAACTTGGAAATGAACCGACTTCTGTAGGGCGACCTTACGGGGTTCGGCGGAGCCGATGGTGCCTCCACACCGCAAGCTCGGTTCAGAACCCTCGGTGGAGCCACGGGGCCTCTTCTTATCCCTTCCTGGCGCTCCGCCCTTTCCACACTCTCGGCACATAATCACTTGCTTGTCCTTTGATTGGACAGTACATTGGGTAGATTAAAAAAAACGCCACGAGGATCCCGCCTTCGTGCACGTGGGACTCGTGCACTCTCCCCAAACAACACAACAACCAAAACGTAAATAAAACAAAACTAGAAAAAGCATAGAGGCCAGGGCCAGCTTCGCGGCGCACAATTATCTAGACAGAGCTAGCCGTACTCGGTATTGCGGCCGTAGGGCGATTTCCCTCTACCACGTCAATTTCTTGACGACGGGGCTATAATCTTCTTGCCTCTGTGCGCCGTACGAGGAACCGCTCGCTGACCGCGCATGTTTCTGCTTACGAGTTCCTTTGCCCAGATAAACGGGGACGCAGACGAAGACATGCCCGATTCAACAATCGGCAACCCAGGCGTCGAACGGGCGGCCGTCACCATTTCCCGTGTCGCGAGCCCGCTTCTGAGAGTTACTGGACCAAAGCCGGACCGGCAGAAAAGGTCGTCGGTGACTTCAGAGTTTTCGCAACGCGCGCCGCCGATTCTGCAGGCGCGCAAACAGTACGTGGCCGGGCCGCGCATTTGTAATCTGCAGTAGGTTCAACGCATGGCAACCGCAGCGGCGCGCTATTGGTCACACTCTCGCAGAGACGCCGCTGCGACGTGCGCCTAGCAACGGCCGCCGCGCCTCATGACGAAATACTCTCGTTCTCGGAGTGCGCCCTGAAGGAATCCCTAATGGCCGTTCCTTTCAGCGCAGATGGGAAGAAAAGGCTTGCGCTGTTTCGTTCAATGCCCGTGGCATTTTCGTCTCCGCCTGTGCACCATGGACTGCTCTCGCGTTGACTGAGGAAGAGGCGCTTGACGTGGCGTTGGACTAATTTGTGGTCTAGTGTGCATTTTTCGTGCGCGTGATTTTTTTTTTAATTCAGTGAACATTTGTGTTGACGCCTGCGCCTTTTTGCGGCCTTGGCCCTTCATCAAGAAGTGATCTGCCGTTGTGTCCTACTGTGCGATTTTTTTTTTTTTTACAGTGAACACGCTTGGCTTTCAAGTATATTTGGTGCCGCCAGTGTCTTGAGCCCTCGCCTTGTCGCTCGACGCGATCACCTTTGTGTTGAACTACTTGCCTCCCCCCCCCCCCCCTTTTTTTTAACTTAGCGGCGCGGAATACTCTGGTGACCACGTGTTTCAAAACGTGATCGCCGCGATCGCAGTGTGTTGTACGGCTATGGCTAGTGAAAGCAGCGCATGTGAAACATCCGCGCACAGCGCGATCGAATGCGTCAAAGACAATGAGAGCTCATCACCTGACGTCGACGTGCTTCGAGCAAACATCACCGATGAACGTCACGCCTGCAGCTGGGTAGAAAACTACGGCTTGAAGACGAATACGTCATGGGTTGTAGACTTCGTCAAGCCAACAGCAACGTGTGAAAGGTAATGCAAAAAATGATCTTATAACTCCAAAAATAACTTACGTCGTCTCTGGTGATAAAACTTCATGTTTTGCGGATAATGTCCAACGATGCGCCGTCTCAATGGTTGTGGACAACGAGGAGATGATCGGTACGAGAGGGCTAGACTCCGCTCATTCAGTGACATTTCTCAAATATATAGAAATAACGAAACGCGCATTCCCACCGCCTAGCCGCAAACTGGACACCCTTCAGGTGATTCACCGGAGTTGCCTTCAAACCAAAACTTAATGCGCTTACAAGTGTCCTCGCATGGGGGGCAGAATAGAGTGCATTTTTCTTTTTCTCAGAAACACTACAAAAAAGAACGAAAACTTAAACAAACCTGGTACAACATGGCCGTAAGTTTTCGCAATTACATCCGCGAGGCAAAACGTATCTTCTATAATAATAGAGGAACCACCTCAAAGCATGTATTCTGAGACTGTGAAATAGTTGAGAAAAAAGTTGTATTACCCCCCCTCCCCCCCCCTGCACTTCCCAGATGAACTACAGGCACAGTAGAGACTGCAGTGACTAGCTTAGATTCCCAATACCAACTTTTAACTTTGTGCCGATTCCAGGAAGCTATTGTGAGAATGTCTCTTGACTCCCCCCGGTTTGGCTGATACAAAAGCAATTCATTAGCAAAATATTTAGTAAAATTGTCTCACTCAACAATTACTGTGCCAGAAAACTAATTGACCGAATCCCCTTTTCTTGGAATTGTGAGAGCATCAAATGCCATAAGTTCCAGCTTGCACAAATAAGAGCTGATGGTCACGATAAATTCAAATGCAGAGTTTGTGCAGGCTTTACAACTGTGATCTCTTGTTCAAATTTCAAGTGTTGTGGCAAGCCTCTAAGATGTGTCCACGGTAGCTAGTAGCTTTGCAGCAGGATTGGCATTTTCCGTGATTTATTTATCCTAATGATGACAATGCAATCACTGAACAAGTGAAAATGAAAACTCACGAGAGACACCCTGAGATCTGTAAGAGCCCCTTGATTACTACTAGGAACCTGTACTAGTCCCGAAACGTCTCTCATTTGTTTTCGCCTAAACTTGTTGAGTGACTGGAACTTTATTATCATGTTTCCTCACCATCTGAACTGTCGTCAAACTCTAACCTACAAGCTGAAAATGTCTTAAATGTGCTTCGGTAATGCAAGAAGTAAAATTAATGATTGTGTTTTTGGCAGGTTTGTTGAGTTCATCCTTTCAGATGCCACCTGTGAAGAACTGCCTGTAAATGCGTCAAATTGACACATGATTTCAAGGCTGTCTATATTCTATTGCAACAACAATAATTTTCTATATTCTATTGCAACAACAATAATTTTATAATAGATTGATTAGGCATTTCACAGCTGTTAATTGAAATTGAGCTTTTATGAAACATCTACTTATTCTAAAGACATTCATATTTGATTCTTGTATATATAGAATGAAATCTCAGACTAGATATATACTGGATATTGGTTTCTCATTTTAACGATATTGAGAAAAGAAAAAAAGATATTTCGAAGTGGCTCCAGCGAAGCGCTGCATTGAATGACTCGTCGACTATGGTAGTGCTTCTGGAAAAGTGATTATATGCACCAGTAGTGTGAAAACTGAAGTTAAAGACATGTTTATTAGGGAGGAGGTTGATTATTTCATCTAAACTTCATTGTATCTTGCACTTTTTTAGCCCCTAGTTGACACAACTAGCAAAAATAAGTGATGTACACAATTGTGTACAAAGCGTCTAAAAGGGTTAAACGCACTGCAAGGAGATTTGTGCAGGTACCTAGTAAGTGCTCAAGTAACTGGTGTATTTTTCTTTTGATCAAATGGCATTTGCAGGCAAAGCAGACCCCTTTCGTTGCTGTCACTGAAATTCTAAATTCGTACTGCTTTGCAGGATGGTGTTCCACAAAGTATGGCGCTGCAAAGAGGCAAAGCGGGAAAAATCATGTGGTGAGGCTGCAGCACACTGTCCAGCAAAGATTGACCTCAAAATCAAGAAGGTCAACAGAAATACAAAACGTAATGATGCCTTTTTACGTGGGGAAAAGCCACTGCCAGCTGTGATAAAGCTCTTTCATCACAAAAACCACAGCCACAGCACTGCAGCAGCAGACGCACTTTCTCGTCTTACTCCAACAATGCAGACTAGAGAGACCTTTTTGGCATACTTTGACAGCGGCATGTCACCAGCTGAAGCCACCAGGCTTCACGAGAGCAAATTGCTTGTGCAAGAAGATGGGTATGCCCTCGTTGCCAACTCTGCAGTGAACCCATTGCCTCCTGCCATATACTACTGGCACAGGCTCTGCAGAGAAAAAAACTTTGGAAAGGGTGTAGACCCCCTCTTAAAGATAGCTGAGATGCCACTTTATGCTAAACATGGTGAGTTGACTATTACAGCACTGCACTTACACCATACGTTCCATACTTGCTACAGCTGTCTAGTGGTTATGGTGCTTGACTGCCAACCCAAAGGTCGCAGAATTGAATCCTGGCTGGGGCAGTTGCATTTCAATGGAGCCAAGATGCTAGAAACCTGTCTGCTTAGATATAGGTGTGTTTAAGAACGCCAGGTGGGCAAAATTATGGTTGTCTCCGTATATAGTGTCATGATATCGTGGTTTTGAGACATAAAACATTATTATTATTATTATTATTATTATTATTATTATTATTATTATTATATTTGCATTATTAAAGGCTATTAAAATCCTAAGCCCTAATTTGCATGCATTTTTAGAAGACTTTTAGTTACAACAGATCTTGAAACCAATTTTCTAAAATGTTCTGTCAGTGCAGCACTTAATTCACAGATTTTGGACACTGCTAAAGCACTAAGAGAGCTGTAGAGGTATCACACTTAGCGTTTTCAGTCACAAAAGATAATACATCCAATCTTATAACAGTTCAGTAAATTTTACAATATTAACATGAGACATTCATGTAATATTGTGGCCAATGTTTCAAAGGGTATCCATACAAGTTCCTAGAATGAAAAGTCATACATCACGCAGTTGCATATAGTAGAAGCACCATTATTGCCACTACTCACAAGCTATAGATGACACCCAATGCTAGCAAAAAAGTTCAGCATAGAGTAATGACGAACAGAGCTACTTTCTTTCGTAAAGGGTCATAATGTCATCACCAGGGTGCTGTAACAATGTGTAGCCGATGCAGGATGACATGCCATAATTTTGCTTGTAACGAAATTGAGAAGCACATAAAATCAGTGCACAGAGATCTCTTTATGAAAAAACTATCATTCAGTCCCACAGTGAAAACGGTTTGAATACTCCAACATGCCTCTATATTAATTGCATACTAGGTGTCACTTAGTAAATATGTTTGCCTGTTTATGAAAGTTTCAAGTGACGAATAGATGAAAAAAGTGGAACAAGTTCTGACTGTTTATTTTGCTCTATAATATTCACTTCCAGCTTAAATTACTAATTTGTAAATTGCTAAGAACACTGGATAATAAATTTGTGGCAAAACAGAAAATGAGTACCACATCCCAGAGCTTCATTTTCACAAAACAACTGAGTACCATACAAGCTTTTCCAACTATCTCTTGGGCTAACTGCACCTCAGGTTACAGAGTTGCAGGTGGTGCTCCTCTGACTATTACTCATCAATGCTGTACAGTTAGCATTTGGAACTATATGTGGGCTATTAATGGCTTGTCACCAAACATTTGGGTCAACAACAGCTCAATGGTCACAGCACACTACAGCTACACCCTGGAGTGCTTAATTCCAGCATTTACATGGTGTGGATGAGATTCTAGCTCGCATCGGCATACAACTTTTCAAAATGATACCATAAAAGCTGTCGTCAAATAAGTGGATGTGGAGCCCCAGCAGCCCAATGTAACACACAATTTTTCATTGAAATAAATACAAAGGTCATACAAATCAATATTTTCATAACTAGTTATTTATTCAGCCGATTCAAGTCTTCAAAAAATATGTCTTCCTGTATTCTCCCTCACTCAACCTTTTTTCAGATGCTTGCTTGAATACCAATGTAAAAAGAATTCTTTACATTAACTGTGCTTCAGTCATGTACCAGTTGCTGTACCTCTTCATGCGGTCATTACTTCTTTCTGCCCAATTTTTCGTCGGAAGCATTGAGGCAACAGGCACAGGTCTAACGCCCATGAAGCAAATGACCTGCTATTGACCCATAAGTCATTAGTATCTGTAATTGTCGTGCAGGCAACCTTAGAGTGTGGACCATCTTCTGCAAAATTACTCTGCAGACAGCATTCTCAACTACCTAGTTTTGATAAGAGGTATTCAATGAGCTCTTCCTGCCAGGCAGCACCAGTGCGTGCGCTGCCATAGCCCTGGTCGGTCAGTGATCTGGGTTATGACAGCGTGTTATTTGGTGGCGGTGCACATTACTAACCCATTTTCTTATGAAAATATTAGCAAAACACACACTGCCGAGAACTTTGGTTGTGGAATGATGATGTTTATGCGCGAAAGCACAAATATGGCGACTTCCATGCTAGGGCCTCTTGCATATGACGTCATGTGATTACCTCCATTATGTAAGAATAAGATAGTGTTTTAGTAGATAAAGAGTACTATAGTTGAAACCTTTTATAAGAGACACTGATATAAGAGACAAATGGATATAAGAAACACTAGTGTGCTTAGAGTAAAATACGGATTGATAGGGAAAATGCATACGTGGTAATCTGTATTAAGAGACAAGAATTGCTGCCCGGAGAATGCCACTTATTAAGGGGTTTAGCTGTACTAGGCATGGTATCTGGAGAAAAAGTCAGTATTCTGTAACCACATTTGTATCTTAGCAAAAGGCGGAATCTGATACTTTTGCAGATGGTTACTCACAAGACTGATCCATTCAGTCATTTGACTACTGCATCTCACTTTCCTTGTTTTTTTTAACACTTGGTGGTTGGACTATGCTTACACCCCAAAGCCTTAAAAACAATTGTTCTGGAAGTCGCCCGCTAGCATTTCACAGTGTGCGATTCCCTGATACAGCTCTTTTATAAGCCACTGTGGTAACCATTTCGATTACACTACAAAGCTGCGGCACACCGTAAAAAGTGCGATTGCATCATCCACAGGTTACATCCACAGATACTTAGTGACTTGCCTGCTCTGACTTGTCAACAGAAGTCGTCAAAAAAGACTGCGGCTCGCAACTTAGTAGCAGCAGCTGTCATTCTGCTGTCATATGCACATGTTCACCTAAAGGATGAGTAAGATGTCATCCAAAGACTGACAGCGATTTCTGCTATTTAAGCTGCATGCAGGACGCAGGTTTCGCAAACTTAGTAACTGTGTTGTACTGTGATAATGTCCACTGCAGAGAGATTGGCTTAGAGATGCTGGGCAGTAAATACTTTGAATTCAAATTCAAATATTTAATTCATGTTGCCTGGTGTGCAGAGAGTGTTAATAGCGCACACCATAGAAATGAAAAATGTTTCTTTTCGGTGTCTGAAAATCGTGTTGGTACTCCTTTATGGCATGCCATTGTAAATAAATATGTGTTATTGCTTCTTAAATTATGAGGTCTATCTTGATAAAAAAGATATCTTCAGTGTTCTTAAAAAGTACCGAAGTGTGTACTGGGAGACTATTGAGAAAATACTGTGCTTCCAGTATTTGAAAACCTAATGTTTGAAGCTATACCTAATAAAGTGACGATTGTTATAGGATGCAGACAACAGCCTTGAAGCGCTGATTGAGCAGTTACGGCGAGTTCATGCAGAGGAGAAAAGCAATGCAGTCTACAGAAGGCACCTCCTCAGCGGCACTAAACGCCTCCGAAGACTCCAAGAGCAGAAGCGCGGTGTTGGTGCCATGATGGCAATGAACGCTGCTTTAGGTCTGGAGTTACGTCGTGGACGATATATTAAGGTTCAGCCAACAGCAATTTCAAGACGATGTCCAGGACTAACTAGAGGCTCCAAGCGAGTAGCTGCAGGACGACCAGCGAGTGGCCCTTCACCCAAACGGGCAAAGAAGAGGCGCCATGTGCTGCAGCAAAGTGTGAGCCAGAACATTCCTCATGTGAAGCTGCATGGCTATGGCCATTGAAGTGATGTTCTAGTGACTACCTAGTGACTACTCGGGGCACAAGATTGAGTGTGTGTGTGTGTACAATGGTGCGTGCGCGTGACATTCCTGGCTGAGGCTCGATGTTCCCATGGATGCATATGGTCACGATCATGCTTTGACGGGACAGCTGCCCATGATACAAGCTTGCAGGGATGTTACATCTTGCAGACCATATACAGTAGACTCTCATTGAATGGAACCTGAAGGGACCGGGAAAATGTGTTTCATTTAACAGGAGTTCTGTTTACTGAGAGGTGAAGTGGGTTGCAGCATTCCAGTATGAAACCAATCATAATCAGTGTTGGATGATAAATATGACATAGAAATGTTGTGGATTAGGTGTGGGTTCAGCGAGCGAACTGTGTATATTGGAGGGATTTATAGAGCGCCAAATTCCTCTCTTGATATAATCGCAAAGCTAAGAAATTTTATGGATTCTAATTTTAGTCTCCAAGATAACGTATTATTATTAGGGGACTTCAATCTTCCGGATATTAATTGGCTATCCCAGTCTCCTGGATCGGAACAGGTTGCAAGTGCTGAGCAACTACTGGAGCTGGCATTCTGCTATGGGCTAACGCAAACTGTCACTGAACTTACTCGGATAGGGACTACAAGGTCATCTATCCTTGATTTGGTTTTTGTGTCCCCAAAGCTGTTGCCGTTACTCAGCCGTTGTGAAGTTGTAGAAGGCCTATCCGACCACAGAATGGTAGTAACTCACCTAGCATTGTCCCCAGACACCTTGGGTAAACCCACACTTAGCACTGTATTGAATTTTATGGCGGCTGATGATGTGTCTATTCTGGAC